CGCCTGGGTGGCTCCGTCGGTTCAGCGTCCGACTCTTGATTTCACCTCAGGTTGTGACCTCACAGTTGTGGGATCAAGCCCCACGTGGGGCTCTACTGACAGCGCAGAGCCTGCTTGAGACTCTCTCTCTCCCTCTTTCTCTGTCCCTCCCCCACTCGTGAGCGCGCACTCTCTCTCTCTCTCTCTCTCTCAAAATTAATAGATACATAAACATTACCAAAAAAATGGTTGCTCTGTAAAAGCCCAGGTGAAGAGTATGAAAAGGCAAGCTAAAAGCAGGGAGAAAATATTTATACACTATATACCCAACAAAGACTAGTATCTACAATGTGTAAAGAACTCTCAAAACCCAAAAGGAATGAATGAATAACCCAATTACAAAATGGGCAAAGACATGAACAATTCACCAAGGAGGATACGCAGACGGCAAATAGCACATGGAAAGATGTTCGATAACATTAGGCATTCAGGAAGCACCACTTAAGACCAGGATGGGCGATCACTACACATCCCTCAGAATGGTTAAGAAAAATGATGACAATCCCAAGGGTGCAGGAAACTGGATCACGCATACATTGCTGGTGAGAATGTAAAACAATACAGCCATTCTGGCAGTTTCTGATCAAAACAAAGTATGCGATTATCATGGGGACCCATCAGTTGCACCTGTGGGCATTTATCCCAGAAAAAATGAAGACTCATGTTCATGCAAAACTCTATACACAAATGTTCACAGCAGCTTTACTTGTAACAGCCCAAAATAGGAACTAGTCCAGATGTCCCTGAACAGGTGAATAACCATTCACCTGTTAAACAAACTGCAGTGTGTCCACACCATGGAATACTACTCAGCAATAAAAAAAGAATGAACTACCAATATACACAACTTGGATGAGTCTCCAGGGAATTATGCTGATCAAAATAGCCACTTTTTTTTTTTACATTTATTTATTTTTTGAGAGACATAAAGAGAGCACAAGTTGGGGAAGGGCAGAGAGAGAAGGAGACACAGAATCCGAAGCAGGCTCCAGGCTCCGAGCTATCAGTACAGAGCCCGATGCAGGGCTCGAACTCACAAACCGTGAGATCGTGACCTGAGCCAAAGTCAGATGCTTAACCGACTGAGCCACCCAGGCGCCCCAGATAAGCCACTCTTACTGCCAAGACAATTCAATGTGAAAAGAATACTCTTTCCAACAAATGGTGCTGGGACAACCAGACATCCACAAGCAGAAGAATGAAGCTGGTCCCCTACCTCACACCATGTGCAAAAACAAACTCAAAATGGATCATGGACCTAAATGCAAGAATTCAAACTATAAGAGTCTTAGAAAAAATAGGGGTAAATCTTTGTGACTTTGGATTAGGCAATGGTTTCTTAATATGATATCAAATGCACAAACAACAAAAGAAAAAACAGATAAACTGGACTCCCCCAAAATTAAAAACTGTTGTGCTCCAAAGGATACCATTAAGAAAATTATAAAACAACCCATAGAATCAAAGAAAATATGTGTAAGGGTCCAGGACCCAGAATACATAAAGAATTCTTACAAGTCAGTAATACAAAGACAAATAACTTTGAGTGCCTGGGTGGCTCAGTCAGTTAAGCACCCAATTACAGCTCAGGTCATGATCTCACAGTATGTGGGTTTGAGCCCTGCATCAGGCTCTGTGGTGACAGCTCAGAGCCTGGAGCCTGCTTCGGATTCTATGCTCCCTCTCTCTCTCTCTCTGCCTCTCCTTAGCTCGCACTCTGTCTCTTTCTCTCTCTCAAAAATAAACATTAAAAACATTTTTTTTTTTAAAAGACAACCCAACTTAAAAATGTGTAAAAAATCTGAATGGACATTTCTACAGAGAAGACATACAAATGTCCAATGAGCACATGAAAAATTGCTCAATATCATTAACCATCAGTGAAACTCCAATCAAAACCCCACTGAGATACCATTTCACACCCACTATGAGGGTAATTATCAAAAGACAGATAATAACCAGGGTTGGTGGGAACGTAGAGAAACTGGAAACTTCACACACTGCTGACGGGAATGTAAAAATGACAGCTGCATACAATGCAATATTGTTTGGCAATAAAAAAGGATAAAGTAAATATGTGCTACCACCTGGATAAACCTTGAAAACATTATGCTAAGTCACAAAGACTACATATTGTATGATCCCATTTATATGAAATGTCCACCAAGAGGCAAATCTACAGAGACAGAAAGCAGTTTTAATGGGTGCCTAGGGCTGGAGATGATAGAAGGAAATGTGGGGAGGGATAGACTACTAAAGAGTGCAAGGTTTCTGGGGTGCCCAAGTGCCTCGGTCTGTAAAGTGTCCAACTCTTGATTTCAGCTCAGGTCATGAACTCACTGTACTGACTGTGGAGCCTGCTTGGGATTCTCTCTCTCCCTCTCTCTCTCTCGTGCGCACACACGCTCTCTCTCTCTCTCTCTCTCTTTCAAAATAAACAGAAAAAAAGAGTACAAGGTTTCCTTTTGGGGTGATGAAAGTGCTCGAAAACTTACTGTGGTGATGGATGCACCCCTCTGAATATACTATAAACCACTGGACTGTGTACTCTAATGAGTGAATTTATGAGATGTGAATTAAATCTCAATAAACCTGTTCCCAAATTTTTAAAAGTCAGTTTCAAAAGGTTATATGCTATATGATTTCATGATTTATGTAACATTTTTGAAATGGCAAATTTTTTTTTTCAGTTTATTTTGAGAGACAGAGAATGCCAGCATGGGAGGGACAGAAAGAGAGGGAGAGAGAATCCCAAGCAGGCCCCACACAGCACAGCGCTGGACGAGGTACTCGATCCCACAAGTCATGAGATCATGACCTGAGCTGAAATCAAGAGTTGGACGCTTAACCCACTGAGCCATCCAGGTGCTCCTGAAATGGCAAAATTTTAGAAATGATGGACAGATTGGTGTTTTCCGGGGGCTGGGGTTGGAGGAAGGGAGGCAGGTGAGTATAGATAAAAAGGGCCATACAAACTGACTGAACCATCCAACATCTTGACTGTGGTGATAAGCATACAAGCCTGTACATGTGATAAACTGTATAGCACTAAATACATGCACACACACAAACAGGGACAAGGGAAACTGGGCAAGTCTGAGTAAGATCTGTGGATTACATAAATGTCAATACCCTGACTGTGATATTATCCTACAGGTCTGCAAAATGTTACCTTTTCAGGAAACAGGGTAAAGTGCATCGGGAATCTCTGTAGCTTTTCTTTTCTTCTTTTTTTTTTTTTTTTT